AGTGCTTTGCATATGGGACACAAAACGCATGTACAAACAACTAGTACCCACAGCTCTCACTCACAGCGATTAACAGGTCGAACGAGGTCGAGACTGCAGTAAGCGGGCGAGTTAATTGGAGGGGGGCTATGATCTCAGTTTGCAAGGGCAGGATATTCGAGAGTGCGGAAATAATTAAACTAATTAAAGCGCCCTATTATTATAATTTTAATTATTATTATTATTGTTAATAGTAGGGATAACGCAATTTTAAGCTACAGGGTGTTTGAAATCAGAGTCAGAACAATTAACACATTTGGGGACTTGGAAGATAAAGAATAAGCAGGATTTACACGATGAAGTTTGTCACAATTTGTGCACGATGTCCGAAAGTATCAGGGTGAGGTGAATGAGATGAAATGAACATGTTATATTTTAAACCATTATCCGTTGTTTGAAGCTGAGTGGGAATCTGTATTTTACAATGGAGTACACACATTTTACCAACACTACCCGACATTTCACATACCTCAGTGCTAATTTGTTCTAAATAAAATATGTGCTTTTGGGAAAGTAATTACAATCCTGATGTAAAACTGTAAATTTAAATTGATTTTCATTGTATTTATTCAAGTTAAGACGTCTTGATATTATTGAAATCAATATTTTATATTTAACACCTATTATTTATACAATGACCTTCCAGTGATAAACTCATCGAAATTCTGGCTGGGAATCCACAAGGAAATAATCTACATGTGACAACTAGGGGCATAATGGAGGATAATATTAAAAATAAACAGGGCGTGGGGACCGTGGATTGGATTCAGTTGCCGGTAACTGAGCACAGCGGCCAGTGACAGCGATGTTGTGAACACGACAATGAAACTTATGTATGTCTTAAAAGCAAGACGTTTCTTGATTAAATCAGCAAACATCAGTTTCGAAACAACAACTTCGCCGCATGGAGTTAATTAGTTTCTGCTGGGTTCAGAACACAGACCGAAGCATTTGGATGGGATGTACGTAGTTCTATCCGAGACCATCTTTTCTTGTTAGGACGCGTCACATTTCTAATTAGGCCTACTATTTTCAACTTTAATGAAAAACAAAAGCAGGAGAAATGAAGCTTTCTGTTTCTCCGAATCAGCCACGAGTCTTACTGTGTTCTCTCTGAGGTACGGCCTCTTAGATACTTGGGTCAATCAATAGCTGATCGAAGCAATTAAAGGATGACGATAATGAGTAATGAACTGGAAAGGATGTGGAAGGAAACGGTCGTGCCCTAACTTAAGGTACTATTCCGGCATTTGCCTGAGGGTCTGAGCGAAACCATGAGGAACCTGTCAGCACAGCCGGTCTCCGGGCTGAGATTTAAACCGGGGACCTCCCGAATACGAAGCAGGAGTGCTAACCACTCAAATACGACGTCCGAAGGCGGTAAATATGATTACGAATTTACCTTCAAACGTTAATTACAGAGTTTAAGAATAATGCATGTTAATCAGTTGGAAACTCAAGTATTAGTTAACTCCAATTAATTAATGGATTCTGTTCCGATACAAAAGGAGATGTAATTGCTTTACGTGCTTCATTCCGGGAACAAGTTATGACTATGCATCATATAAATCCTATTCCCGAATTAAACCCTTTACTAATACGAGGAAAGCTTCCATCCAAACTGTTGCCGGAATTAATTACCTAATGCGTTTCATTAAGGTGCGCCGGTGGATTTCGGGGGCGGAGCGAGGAACAGCGCGGACGACGCATAGACAGAGAGTCACATTCCGCCACCTTCCCCGAAGTATTGACTCTGCGTCTGCGGTATACTTTTGCCATCATAAAACGTCACAAAATGTCTTTACAACTTCGTAACGAACTAAATGGAACGTCGTAGCAGATAAATCAGACAGAGCTGCGCGCCCTGTTTTATACTGTGTCCGATAACCTTTAGATTAGAACGGATGGGCGGGTAGATGGATCCATACGGAGACAGACAGACAGACAGGATTTGAGGTTCTCAGGGCGGTGAGTATGAACATGGCTGACTTCTGGGTGTAGTCCGGTAGAAGTTGACAGACATTTCATCATCAGGGTGACCACCCAGTAAGTACCTATGAAACGTCGGATAATATCTATGAGACTACAAGGTCTTACTGTGTTATTATTATTATTAGTGTTCTGTCTGCCGACAGGTCCATATGAACAGGATCCTTCCATCCTTTTCTCGGACTGGGACCTGTTCATATACGTTCTTGGCAGATGATCCAGAAGTGGTTTGCCATTGCCTGCTTCTGTGTGTGAATGGAGAAACCGGGGAAGCCCCCGGAGGAAAACCCCGTGTTGCCTAGACCACGATCTTGCCCAACACAAGTTATAAATTCTGGAACCACCGGGAATCGAACCCGAGACCCCAGGATTACAAGGCCAGCGTTCTAACCGCTAGACCACCGTGGCGGCTCACTACGGGTCTAAGACTGACTTTATCCAATGGACCCAACAGATTCAATTATAAAAGCGGAAATACAGCCAGCTTCCAAAACGGCGTGTTTTTAAACTACCGGATGAAGTGTCCATGAATACTCAACATTTTAACTATATAAAACTTCGCAAAGAAAATGTCAATCCTACAATAATCTATTCGTCATTTCTTCAAGGAACGTCAACTGAACCACGGCTGCCACATTCTAAATCCTTACATACTATTCATATCACGTGATTTCAAGACACTGTATGAACTCCGTGGATTGAAATGATAAAAAAACTAGTCTATCCAATGGGCACAGAGGATAAAATGTATAGTTCCCATTCGTCTCCCAAAAAGAAGAAACGAGGAAGAAATAACAAAGTAATACAGCTTTGTGGACGCCATGCACTTGAGGCTTAGGCTTCGTTATTTACCTCACTTCTGACGGCTTGAGAGGAAGCCACGTGACCGTCTTCTTCCTGGCGTTCAAACCGCACTCCTTATTACAATAACCGTGTTTAAAGCAACAATGTTATAAGACTCTTATAGTAAGAAAATGTATATCTCTGATAATATTTCGCTTCTATGTGCGATTTCAGTTTTCGGGGATAATCCGAGTCGAATGTTATAGGTTATAATAAACTGTATTACAGGCATTGAAGTTCCAGAACAGAAAATTTTGATCATTTTAAGTTTTGTTGTTGTTGGCTATTCGCTGAAGTGTACCTACAGATACAGATGACTGTTAACTTACGTTCAAAACAGAGGGGAAACGCAGACATTCTGAAACGAAATGACTTTGTACGTCGAGGCCAAAGTTTACTTCATCTAGGCAATTCGTTTCTCAGAGACAGACAGAAGGACAGACATATAAAAGTAATTACATGGGCGTGCAACTGCCAGGAGAACACGTCAGCTCAGAGTTATGGATTGCAGGGGCCGTCTCTCACTAATAAAGACGCTGGTTCGTGTTCCGTGACCGTTTCCATGGTGATCTTTTCATTAGAAGATATTCTTTTATTTTTTCCCCCCTTTTATTCTGTTATGTGAACTTACAAATCAAGCTAGTATGGAGCTGTAAATTTGTAGGTTAAACGTGAAAACATGGCAGTGCATGCTTCTGTTAACTGATAATGGCTCATAAAATTTTTTAGTTCCAATTAACACGTCCGTAGTGCAGAAGATACGATTTTCAATTACGAAATAACTCACCTGAAAGTGGCAGAAACAGAAGTGTATTTTCACCAATTATCACGAACTCTTCAGACCACGTGATCAGTACCGAATGCCACTAAAGTCTTGAGAGATTTACTTAATCTGTTGGCCAGGAATTAACTAAAACAGTCTCACACATTTGAGTTCAGTCGGGCTTATGACAGTACATGAATTTTCTCAAATACGTACCCAGTGATTAATCTAAAAACATAAAATACGCCACCGTTCATCTGTTGTACCTGCAACATCTCTCGAAATGCATCTCTTTTTCTGTGGACCTATGCGTCTTCCGAAAAAAAAAAGTGAAATGAGATGTACACATGAAAGTTTCTATGTTTTTACCACAAATCAAGACCTTATTCGGAGTGATATCAACAGCGCATCCTTAGCGAATATGAAGAAACTACGAATATATAACCAATTACTTTCTTCTACTGCACGAATTCTCAAAACGTTTTTGTGCCAGGTACTTCTATTGAAGTCAAAGGAGACTCTGGTATCCCGTGGAAAAGAAATTTGAAAATAATGAGAACGGCTGGACCTATCACAGAAGTCAAAATATGCCAAAGGTTCTTCCCTAAGAGGTTATGTCACACGTTATACACGTCACACCGATGCGTTATTTCTTATTAATGTATTTAAGGGCAAAATAAATTGCCATTCCATTATGGACGCTGTTGGTTTACGTGTGCCGGCGAGGCAGATAAGAGAATTTTCTACTTTTAGTGCGAGTAGTGCGCTAAGACATAGTCCTTCAGCGAGGTGCGTCATCGCTGCAAATGACGTATGTAAATCTTTGGACGTATTTAGCACAAACATTGTCTCCCTTGAGCGAACGTTCTCAACAAGGGAAATGATCTAGCTTCGTTATCTGTCTTTTTATATTTTTTAAAGTTTTACAATTATATTAGTGTTCCCTAGGTGGATTATTTGTTTTTATTTATATTTCTTCATTTTTTGCTCTGTGTTAATATTGTTTCTATTTTGGGTTTGCCTGTACTTGGCAGTTACATTTAATACTGTACATGTATAAGTTTAGTTAATCCGTTTGTGTAATATTATCCATTATTATTTCACTATTATTGTATATATTATCAGTGTTTGCCTGTTATTGGCTGCTTGCTGTTGGCAAACACGTAAATAAATTAATTTAATTTAATTGAATTAATTGAATATTTTATATCTTCTTCAGCGAGATTTAATATGGGCCATTTTAACATGGATACCTGAAAGTAATTTTTTATAATACACCATAATGGTTTCATACCAATATCAGACTATCGCATGGGACAGTTATGTGAAGGAAACGTAATCGATAGCAACGAAAAGTTCACTTTACCTCAGTGCAGACAAGACTTCTCTATGCGGTACTGAACGGTAAGAAAACTTGGCGCTATCAGCGATTCCTGTACGGCAAAGTCCTCTGTTGACTTTCCAGAACCGAGCGAAGGACGTAGTGCGCCACCGCGGCTGATTACTGAAACAGAAAAAAGCACAAATGCTGACACTCTGGTAGTCAGCGTTAATTTACATCAGAGGGAAACTTAAAAAAACACCAGTAAACGGATGACAGGTCAAATGTATGATTTCCGCAAGATATCTCCGAGCTCTTCTGATAGTTACACATACACACACGTAGGTGGACGGCCGGGGAACGGGGCGGTGGGGGGGGGGACTTTAACCCCCTTAACCCTTCTATCTTCACTTCATCCCTTACTGTGACGTAGCTCAGGGTCGCAGATATTTTGCGTTCGGAATAAAAAATATTAAATGACGTCTAAAAATGTTCATACTGCAAAGTATATAAATAACGGGTTATTTAATATTATTTGTCGTTTTATCGGAACGGTTCTTGCTATAATATTTAGAGTTTTTTTAAAATTAAAATGTGAACCTCTACTGGCCAATCATTTTCGCCACATCTGTCCCAGGGTACATTATTTTTTTTTTCATCGTCCCTGATTAACCGTGCAATTCCCAGACTATAAAAAAAGTTTCAAGATTTCTAATACAACGCTAATAGGGAGAAGATCGGTATCTTAACTACGCGCTCTTCAAAATTCTGCTTTGAAGGTTTACAGATTCTGAGGAAGCGATCAGACCTCAGCGATAGCTCAACTGCAGACACTGTATTCAAATAGTCCCTGTTTTATGGCCGACATGAGAGCCAGCTTACGAAGGAGCACAACGCCTTTTTAGCGTCTCTTAATGTGACGTCAGGAGGAGCCTTACAGCGTCATGATAAATGAAGATGAATGACGTCACACTGAAAACTACTTTGTAACCACAGCGTTCTTTGTCGACAGATATCGATACTCGATTTGTTCGAGAATCTTTATCCTTTTGGTCTCGTCATTCCTGAGCAGCTTTATCCCTTTCGTGCCGAGATTTTCTTAAAAGAAGCTCCAATATTATAAAATGAGTTATGTTGCCATTTTGAACTCGTTTTTTTTTTCAAAATTATAGAACTTAAATTTACCTGTTTCTAAGGAAAAGTAAGTGTAATCGCTGTGGTAACTCATGGTAGACCTTGGTATTACACGGCGTGACACGTGTGGAATTGTAGGTATATACCAATGTTTCGGAGGAAAATAATGCCTCCATCTTCAAGGATTCAGACCCAACAATGACATCTTCAGCGCTTTGAAAACCTCAAATCTCAACCAATTTGTAGCATAACTGAAATTTGTCTCAACATCTGTCATTCCTTGATGTGATAAATCTTACAACTAAGCCGTGATATTTATATTCTGAATGTCTTTCGGGTAGAGTCTCATCTAGCCGCATTAGCTTGCAAGGTCATAGTTCAGGATGAAGGGTCAAGACGATATTTCAGACGATATTGACTGAAGCTCGAAAAGTGCCTACACTGCAGGGGATTCTATATACAAGACTCAGCAGTTCTGCTGGCCACCGTCCGCGGTCTCACGTCGCCACTGGCCTATCTTTCTTACCGTTTTATAAAACATTCAGTCTGTTAACGCGATATTTTAATTTGGCTTAGAGGCTACGTGGTAGAAACACGCATAAAAATTGATTCGAGACCAGTAACTCATTCCCTCGCGTTCGGCTCATAAACTCGCTAACTCACGCACATGACGACTCACGCAATTTACGAACTCGTATTATCTCTCGCTGCATCAGAAGCCATCTGATGTATCGACCGTGTTCAAGTTGTGAAGCCGCGTGGTCTTGTAGCTGCAGGAATGAAGAACTTTTATCTACTCTGAAGATAGAAGTGGTAGTTTTGCGTTTCAGAACATCTACGAATGTTTGTAAGGAAAAAAATTATATATTTTTTTTTTGCGAGGCAAAATGCAGGTTCTCATGGGATGGAGTACAAATATGTCTTCTCAGATGTTCCTCTGTTTAGTCGCCCTGATGATGGATGCAGCTAGTAACTATGAAACGTCTATTAATTTATATCATACTCAAGGCTCAACGGCTACGGTGGTCTAGCGGTTAGAACGCTGGCCTTATAATCCTGGGGGCTCGGGTTCGATTCCCGGTGGTGCCCAAATTTATAACTTGTGTTGGGCAAGGCCGTGGTCTAGGCGACAAGGAGTTTTCCTCCGTGGCATCCCAACAATTACTCCATTCACACACAGAAGAAGGCAATGGCAAACCACTTCTGGATCATCTGCCAAGAACGTATATGAACAGGTCCCAATCCGAGAAAAGGATGGAAGGATCCTGGTCATATGGACCTGTCGTCAGACAGAACAAACAAAACTTCCAGTTTGTATAGAAAATCTTCTCAATATCAAAGTGCTGTTAGGTCAGTAAAATCGAAGACGTTGCTTTGGTTCAATTCTGAAGGGTTTTGACGGTGGTGGATTACACTTCAAATTGTTCATTATCTGGACTTTTTCCATCGTTCTTGTCTAAAAGAAAGAAACCGCGACGTTTCGGAAACTGGCTCTTATTACTTTGGGTTTCGTGTTGGAGGGAGCAGACAACAAACTTGCTTATAGAATTTTTCTGGGGGAAATTTTTGCAGACCGAAAAGTAGTCTACATTTGGATGTGACATAAATATATTTATTTCAGGAGAATTATTCGTGTTTTTTCCGTCTAATCACAATTGTATATAAATAAAATGATACATAAGATATTAAAATATCATTTACATATTTGGTACAACTTTTTACAAAGTAATTAAATTTTAATTCACAATATGACGCAATTATATCAACTTATGAATAACATTCAGGAGAATGGCTAGAGAAAACGCGTGATGGGTGAAAATGGGTTAGGATAGTGTCCAATGGTGTTCTTTCTTTATTATAATTGTTTATCTTCCTGGTTATATTGACTAAGAGATGATTTGGTTCATATTTGTTCGTTAGATAACTTGAAAACCAATCCGTCGTAAGAAAGAGTCTTGTCGGTATAAAGAAATCTTAACCGCTTTGTAGACTAAGATAATGCTGACCTATAAAGTCAAATTAATCGCAAGGAAATCTGAACTTTATAATGCGAGAGCGTAATCTAGAGGAACTGACAAGTGACGTTAGCTTCAGAGATGTCTCAAAGGGAAAAGTTTTAATTAATTCCGTGCGTGTGGTGAAGCTTGAAGTTGGATAAACAGAGGCGGAGTTGGTAAACAGAGCGCCCAGTAGTAGCAAAACGGTATTACAGCTAACTTGGCACCCTCGCCCCATGAAGTGAGGCAGACCAACTTTCTGAAGAAATCTTCGTTTGACGCTTGGCTCGACTGGGGGAAACCACGGTAAGACTGCACGAGATCAAGCGGTGGTGGGTTTCATCCTATGCGGGTCGGCTATTTTGAATTCATTTAAGTTTGATTTTTATAAGTTACTTTGGATAGGTTGCGTTTTCTGTTAGGTTAGGTTCGGTTTAGTTAAGGGTAAGCTAAGGGTAGGTTATATAATGTTGTTTTACGATGGGTTGTGTTGTCCTGGAGAATTTGAATCGTGTTCATCGGGTGGTCGTAGGAATGTCCTGGAGAAGTGTTCATTCATTAATTCCGGTTCAAAGACTCAAACTTATTATTTTCGTCTCCAATTTATAATTGTGCTGGCAGTGAAGAACACTGCGTGATTTCACGTACTGGGGAGGGAAAATGCCCTGATAACAAAGGTAGATCCTAAAATGGGCTGCCAGACAGTAAATGATTAATGGGATAGCATGACGATTTCCTTTTGTGATGATGGACTGGAAAATCATAAATTATTATGCCATTCATTTCTGAAAGTACAGTTCCTCTGTCGTGAGTCGTGTGTTAAAAGGGGGGGGAACGATGATATAAACAATGAATAAATTAATTGAGGGACATTGGAGAAGTAAGCGGAAGGGGACTGGAAAAAAACAACGTGAAAATACATATTTAGAAATAAAGAGGACGATGATAATAGTCATTATAGGCAGGGGATATATTAAACAGAATAAAATCAATAAAGCTAAAATAACTTTTGAGAAACAAGAGGCTCTGATGCGTCACCGAGCACAATGCTTATTCAATTACGTTTGCTGAAAGTAACAACTCGTGTCAATAAAGTAGCTACCTTCTGCAGGAATTATTACAATACGACAAGACATTTTCACAATGGATGCGAAACTACATATATTTCACAGAAAACACTGCGGGATGATAATTAATTATGAATTCGGTAAGGGCATGGTACAAATCGCGTGTGGCCAAATTTTGAAAACTATCCAAGAATTTGTGTTTTTGGATTAAGCAAAATCACTAAACAATGCGAAGAAACTAAAAAAAAAAAATTGGGATTTACCCAACATAAAGATCGACTGTTACCCACTGAACCGCGATGTATGGTATTTGTCTAATTAACTCTATAGCAAAAGAATTAATTACGTTGACATAAAGCTACTTAATTAATTATTCTTGTCCGTCTATTCACAATTTAAAATTTAAAATTAAGATAATTAAAATATCATGTGATGTTCCTTATCGATACATTCGATTTACATTTAGAACATCTTTTTCTTACGACATGTTTCGGTTCTTAAATGAACCATCTTCAGGTGTATAAAAATTAAAATTATATAAACTTAAAACTTAATCGTAATTTCTTATATGCAACTTTTTTATAGTTGTTTATCAGTTAATAGTGATGTTCACTTCCAGATTCCATTTTTATATATTTGAAGTTGTTTTACATATGTGCGTATTTTAAATTTTAAATTGTGAATAGACGGACAAGAATAATTAATTAAATATATATCTTCACAATATGACGCAACTATACCAACTTATAAAGCTATTTGTTACTGTAGACAGGTGAGCCTTACCTTTGTACATTACCAACATTTATCGCTTTTAAAATCGAATCCATTTTCTTTAATATTGTGTTAAAAAATAACCCCCGGTAACCATTGGACAGGAGACTGGGTGGGCCCCAGAACCGGTCCGGGCGCAGAGGCTAGAAGAAAAATTTTCTACCCCTGTCGGAAATCGAACCCTGCTCGTCCGGCCCATAGTATAATAAAGAGT